ACTTCAAGTCTCCTCAGGCTAATCATCTCTAGTGCGGATCAACGGACAGGCGGAGCGCCGCTTACACCAACGTTCTCGGCCTTCCTCCGTCTTGATACTCTGAATCACCTTCCGGAGCCTCAACTCCGTCGACTCGGATTCTTCTCTTTAATACGGGCCGAGAGTCCGCTCCTTCACTTGCTTCCACACTTCTCCTCACCCATGATACACAATGGTGCAGACCAAAGACGTTCAGACATTGGCGCGAGCCATTAAATTGGTGAGACTCTTTACGAGTGACGCTCTCTCGTCCATATCCACCAAGCTGTTGTCTAATGATGACGTAGGCTGCCCAAAACAACAAGAGTAAACTCATTCGCGAATGGTTTTACGTCCCCCTGGGCCTCACGATAACTCTCGCCGTATGCTTCGGTGTCGATTCTATATTTCACCGGTTTAATGTTTCGTTTCCAGCTTCTGTCACGTGTATGATGTTGCTCTTCTTTGCCCTCATCGCGTGTGAGTCGTTACTAGGGAGCCATCGGACGAGAAAGGTGGTTAGTTTTATCGATGTTTCTGTAAGTCGAAGTGATGCTCGATGGCATTAGCCAAGCCGACTCTAATGCGTTGATAGGCTGGTTGGTCGCTTCGATGGATGGGCGTCTTCTTCACGCCCTCATTCGTTCTCCTCCCCCTGAGTCCGGCAGTCGGCGTTATCGAAGTCTTCAAGATCATTGCCATCTTTGGTGAGTTGCTTACCCCCAAAAGTGATCATCTGGCTGACCGGGTGAAGTTATCGGCTTCTTTATCATGATGGCACTTGCGGCCTGGATCACCCGGAGCGTCCAGTTCGCGCTCGGCATCTCCAAGCGCTCCGAATCCCAGCGCGCCGAAGAACTCGGCCGCAGGACGCCGGACATTCCCATAAGCGAGAATACCACCCCGGGCATCTCTCGCCGGACGAGCTTCTCTCAGGCTCCGTCCCAGATCCCACTAGTCCCCGTGTCAGGATCGGACTCGGCTCCGTCATCGACACCACCATCCCGGCCGCAAAGCCCGCCTCAGCTGCGCCTCCAGGATCACCACTATGCCAACGGTCACGCCCCAGAGAACGCTGTCGAGGCGCTCAACCCGCCGAGTTACCCGACCCAGGTCCCCCTGCCACCACCCAAGGCCGAGATATGGGCTGCTCAGATATCGGGGAACCTTGACCTGTCAACCTTCATAGGGCTGTTCCTCTTTGTCGGAGTCCCGCTCTACTACTCGACAGGATATGCCATGCCAATTCATATGGCGGTCAACATCCTCGCGTGGTTCGCCGCCATGGCCATCCCGGCGAATTTCAAGCAGTACCTCCACCCTGTTCTCGTGTCGTCCCTTGCTACCGTGCTCGTGATATGGGCACTCGCCGAAATACGTGGCGACAGCTTGTCGACGGCCCTCCACGCATACCGCACAGGGGCAAAGTACATTGAGCTATGGAGGAACACGACGAAGGAGCGGCACGTCCTCCCCGGCGCGGGTGACTTCTTTGGCACGCTGCTCGACGCCAGTATCGTGGCACTCGCCCTCCCCATGTTTCAGTACCGCCGTGAGCTGCGCACCCACTTTGTCTCCATCGTCATCCCAAACGTCGCCATCAGCGTTGGCTCCCTGCTCGCTTACCCGCCGTTGTGCTACGCCTGCGGCATCTCGGCAGCCCGTAGTCTGGCATTTGCGTCGCGCAGCCTGACCCTCGCTTTGGCTGTCCCCGCGACCGTCAACCTGGGCGGCGACACAAACACGGTAGCCGCTCTGGCCATCATCAGCGGTATCCTTGGTGTTGTGCTCGGCGCCCGCATCCTGCGTTGGCTGCGTGTCCCAGAGGACGATTACGTGACGCGCGGCGTGACCCAGGGCATCAACTCGAGTGCCATTGGCACGGCGGTGCTTCTGCGGACCGATCCTCGAGCCGCAGCCCTGTCGAGTCTGTCCATGAGCCTCTTTGGCACCATAACCGTGCTCTTCACCTCTATACCGCCGGCCGCAACGTTTGTGAGGACACTCGTGGGGCTATGATGAATGAGGAAGCTTGCTTGCTTGGTGCTCCGTGCTTGGGAGCAAGGACGAAAAAGATATAAAAACCGACCCCTTGACCCGGGTATGTCGTTCCGGAATTTGAGGGCACGAGTGGGATGTAATTTACGACTACCGAGATTTTGCGAATAGACCTGATAGACCCAGTAAATAATGATCATGTTAAGTTCAGTCATGAGCACTAGTCTTGTATCTTACTTTCTCCTTGATACCTGGTCCAACCAAGCCCCTTGTATATCTGTGCCTCGTGGCATGGGCCAGGTCAAACTTGTCTGGGATATCGACGTCACGTTAGTCTGACATACACCGTCAGTTTGCACATTGTCTCACGATGGGCGCAACTCCACACCGTCGCACACGGGGGAGCTGCAACCAGAAGCCTGGATTGTCGAGTCTCTCGATTGATGTAACAGACAAGGGTATGTATGGAAGAAGAGGTCCGAGAAAGGAAGAAGAAGAAGAAGAAGAAGAATATGAACATGGTTGGAAATGGAAAAATGCATGCTTGCTGCCGGAATGAAATGCACAAAATGCCGCCCTCCGTGTTTCCATCAGACTTTCCCCTTTCGCCCGTTGGTATCGTATCCCTGTTGAAAGAAAGGCTGGGGGGTTGATGGAAGATGCGATGCCCCGAACGCCGCCGTGATTCGTGAAGCCATGAGTGTCGTAAAGCGTAAAATGTAGGTGGGTTGGTAATATGTCGAGAGGATTGGTGAGGGGAGGTATCTCTACCCCCCCTTTTGCATGTCAACTTGTAAAATTGACGATGATGGCGACCTCAGAAGGAGTAATAAGAGACATTTCTTCCCTTGACTCCAAAGGACCTTTTCATGATCAATGTCAGCTCGGACCTCCAAAGTCAAGTACCACTAGTCCACTTACCATCTGCACCACCTCCCCAAGCCGCACCCTACTTGCCAAACGCCCTGTTCAGCCTCATGGTCAACTGGCTCCTCTGCTCCTTTGCCTGGCTACAGACGCCGCACTCGCCCCTGACGACGGCGCCCGTGACTCTCGAGACGTACTTGCCGCAGCCGGCGAGGCAGGGCGTAGTTCCCACGGGCTGTTCTCCGACGCGGCGGCCACAGCCCTGGCAGACGAGGGTTCCGAGGTTTGCGTAGCACATGGTTTTTTACTTCTTCTTTTTTCTTTTTTGTTCTTGGGTTGATAGTTTGCTGCTGATGCGAAGAAGGGAAAAGAGACACGATCAAGAATAAGTAAGACCAGGGTGGATGTGAAAGACGAGAGAGATATGTAGTAGACAAGGGCACTCGGGAACTTGGACGTCCCAGCGGAAGCTTTAAATACAGGCAAACGGGGACACCGAAGTGGTCAACAGGAACAAAGGCGAACTGATTAAACGAGATTTGTTTGGCATGGAAGGTAAGGTAAGATGAAGAAGAAGCGTCGATGAATAAAATGGGTGAACAAGAGAGGATAAGATGACGGAGGGAGGAAGAAGCTGGAGCCAACTTTGTTGTACTTGCAGGGAGCAAGGGTTATTTCGAGAGAGGAAGGAATAAGTATGGGATGAGTATGGGATAGAGTAAGGCAGGTACGATAGGTAGGTAAGGTAGGGAAAGCAAGTCAGGGTAGGCAGGTAGGTGAGTGAGCGTGTGTGTAAAGAGCAAGTGCGACCCGACCCGGGGGACTGTCGTGATGGGGTCGCTCGGTGATGGAAGGCCTTCCCTTCTACCCTCTCTCGCTCATCCTCCTTGGGAAACAAAGAGGAAGGGGAACCCACTTGGGCCCGAGTGGGACGATTCCGTTTCACTGCCTGTGCTGCGCTGCGTTGCGCTGCGCTTTTACTCTCTCGTCCTCTCGGCTTTGATCCCCCCCTCCTCATGATCCCGGGAGCAAGAGAGAGAAAGAGGGGGTCCATTGCTCTGTTATAGGTAGGTACAGCGTAGATAGGAATCCATCCTCTCAGCCTGACACCGGGCCTCACTTTTTGGAGTGTGTAGCTAACGGTTTGTTAGTCAGGAAGGGCGTCTTACACAATCAACCACTCATCACATGCCGGGCTTCCTGTTTCTAAAACAGACTCTACATGTCTCGGCAATGGTCAACACCCACTAGAGACGACCAGAGACATGCCAAACGACGGGTTAGACCTCAACCTCCAAGTGCCTCCTTCACCGACACATCCGCCCGCTTCGCCTCGCTTCGCCTGGATGGAAACAAAGCGGAGAGGAGAAGGGAGGAGACCAAGTTTGATCAAAAAGGTGGGACACCAACTCTGTATTGCGCCGCCGCGCCCCCCCTCCATCACGAATCCTTGCTCGCCATTCTTGTTCTCCCCTCTGTGCTCCCCCCCTCCAACAGAGCTTCTCGAAAGAAAAGAAGATCCCACGTCCCGGAAATCATACTGGAAATTCCCCTAGGCGCAGGGAAGATCATACCCTGTGAGGTGCTGGGGCTGTCCTGTGCTTCGATAGTCTGCCTCCCCTCCTCCGAACAAGTCACATCTAGTATATTGGCCGCCCCAATGCAACATCACGCATTTTCACGCATAGTAATATGTACCGCAAAAAAGTGGAATTTTGTTTATCGTGCCGCAATGCACAGCACAGGGCAGCAGGAAAAAGGTACATGTATCCGCAGTTGCTGACCCGTAACCTTGGGATTCATTTGGCCGAGGAACATAGCCAGAAACCGTTTCCCCCAATCCCAACCGCCCGTCGGACCGTTAGATGGGCTTTGCGCGGGTCATCTGCCCGTTCTGCGCCGCCGCTCTCGGTCACGGCTGTCACGGATCCTTCGGGTCACCACATGCAGCCAAAAGATGGGCCCTGACGACTGAAGAGTCAGGGTGGCTGGCTGGCTGAGTGGGGGAGGGGCAGAAGGGGGGGCACGGGAGCAATGATAGATCGCCCATCTTCAGGGCCAACCTCACCACCATCACCACCATCACCATCACCGTCATCGTCCATGGACAAATGTGTACAAGGTTGAGCTGTCTTTCCTGACGACCCAACACCCTCAGGGCAGACGTCATCACATAATCATCTTCAATACTTCATACAAGCCCTGTGAGACGCCACCCTTCACATCACACCCGGATCGAATATCTCTATAAGTGTCAGAATCCCTTCCATGAGAACGCCTGCCAGCCCACCTGTCAAGTTATCGTCGTCGGCTGCCTCCCTCCATTACCGTACCTCGCTTCCAAAGCCGGCATCCACTCTCTCTCAGCGCTGCAACGTACAGCGTCATCTGCATGTCCACAACAGCTTGCATCACCTTACTTCGTGTCTCGTCATCCTAGCTTCCCCCGCAGTGCGTCCACCTCCCTCTGCAGGGCATCAAGGTCAGCTAGGATGTTGGCGCCTTTCCCTGCATCAGTTGCCGATTGCGGAGATGTGGGACCGGCGTTGAGGGTTGCCGCCGCATCATAAGGTTCCTCTTCAGGAACTTGACTCGACCGTGTCTTGGCAACTCCTTCCATGCTTGTTCTCCTCGGCGGTTCTTCTATGCTGCCGCGACTGCTTCCCCTCTGCCTTCGAGGTGGGGGAGGCGGCGCTATGCCACCGTGAGGTTTTGCTTCAAACGAAACTCGTCGGCTCGTGCTATCAATGCTCCGAATACTAGCAGGCCGTCGTACCGAAGCGTTTCGTGCCGGAGGCGGGGGAGGAGCCCATGACTTGGTCACTCCAGCCTGATAACTTCCAGGCTGTGTCTCCCGAGGAGGTGCTGGCTCCACTGACGGTTGGTGTGTCGGCGTCGAAATTGTGTCGATTTCTGGTGATAAAGCTGGAGATGACGATGATTGACTTGCGTTTCTAGTGAGATTGGATGCCACTCCCGCTGGTATCTGAGTTGACTGTCTCGAGCCGTGGTGCGACCTTCGTGGTGGTGGTGGAGGAGCCGGCGCGTGAGAGTCATGTCGAGCATGGTTTCTCTGGGATCTCATCGACGACGAGCGTGATAGATTCTCGTCATGGTTTTTGAGCGCCTGCTGTCCCAAACTAGAGCCACCAGGACCAAATGCCTTGCTCTCCCCCCTGGCATGTCCCCTTCGTGGCGGTGGCGCTGGGACCGCTTTCTGGTTGTTCCTAGGCGCATTTGGAGACGCGGGGTTGTTCTCGATGTTGATATCGGGGACCTTGCCCGCTGCCTCCTGATCGAATGGTGACTCGTGACCATCTTCGAAGCTCTTTCGAACAGGGGCCGGCGGCAGGGGCTTGTTCATGTCAGACTGTGACATGGATGCCAATGCTTCCGGAGCTGACTGGCCTCCGATAAAATCCAGCTTGATCGATTTGCCATGTCGAGAGCTGGGTGGTGGTGGTGGCTTCTTGCCTCTGCCAATCTGAAGCGATGTGCTCGAGTCAGAGAAGCTACTGCGCTCGATATCGTCTTCCGGGGTATCCGAAGTATCTCGGGCGATGAGCGACACCTCTTGCATCTCGCTACCCGGTGTAAGTGCGTCTCTGAGGCTATCCTGCGTCGATGCCAGGGAGACAGAAGAGGAGTCGGCCATATTTCTTGCCGGCGGAGGCATCGATTGGCGCATCCTGAGTGGTGACGGGGCCTTCTCTGAGCCTGAGTTGCCGGTCATGAGCAATCTCTTGAACGAATTCACATCCAGGGACCGCCGAGCCGTGTTGGCAGCTTTGAGCGCATGGCCTTCCTCCTTCCGCTCCTGCTCAAGCTTTCGTTCTGCCGCCGGCGACTCCAAATCTCGTAACGTCTTGCTGAATGGGTTGCCTGGAGCTTGACCGCCACTACGGTCTTGATCCCGGGCAAACGCCGATACCATCTCGCGATCGCTGTCGTCGGTAGAGGTCGCATCGAACGGGTCGTCACCCTTCTGCTGCATGGAGCCATGCTCCTCGAAAGACGGTGCCGAAAAGGCCCATTCTGGCGAATCGGGGGAGAGCGGTGGAGGAGAGAGGACGCGGACTTTTTTGGAGGTTTTCGATTGTGAGTCAGACGTCGAAATGTCAACCTGGAAACTCGTTGGAGGTGGCCGGCTTGACGAGGTATCTATCGAATGGAGGGGGGGGAAGCGGGTTGAAGTAGGCGAGGCTATGCCCTGTAATGTAGCCGTGTCTGCCGCAACGACGGACTTGCGGAATGGATTGGACGATGCCATGATGAGCACTGGCGCGGCGCCTCGGGTTTTGCGGTCGTCCTTTTTTCGTCTTTCTTTGCACTATTCAAGCTTATCACTTGCCTCGCGGGAATGTCGGAGGGGAGCTCTGATGTGGTGGTAGGTCAAGACGTTTGCGAACGAAGACTGCCTGCCATTTTCGGCACAGCCGGGCAGGAAGCTCGTTGGGCGGCCAAGAGAGGAAATGAGAGCGGAGGTGAGGCGGTGATGGAATAAGCAGGAAAGGGAAAGAACTGTGAAAATGACGAGGCCGGTGATTGATTGCGTAGATGTTGTAGGCTGAGTCGCGGTGCTGCAGGCTGCCAGAATCTATAGCGCAGAACGTGCCCCCGGAACGATCGGTCAAGGCCCAAGGCTCGTAAAAGTCGGGGGGGATCTGGCGATGCCGCTGATGATGCACCTAGGAACCAAAAGTGGGCTTGGGCCGTCAGCGCCTTGGGGCTTTTGCGTATACAGCACACTTGCTAGCCGTGCCTCTTCTGTCAGCGCGGGATCGGGTCACCGTCAGGGGGCCGTGGCACGACTGGGAAAACGGGGAAGAATAGAAGCCCGACCAGGGGGGGGCACAACGGAGTTTGAACAACGGCGACGGGATGAGAGAGGATACATTACGCAGTAGAGGTTGGCGGTTGGTTGGCTGTAGGTACCTGCCTCGTAGGCACGGCGAGCACGGGCCATCTGGGAGCTTCAAGGTGGAAGGAGGGGCACTTCACGGTGCTTGCTGGCAGTGCTGACGTTGGGTCTTCCCTACAAGGAAGTTACGTCCCTGTCAAGCTTCCACAATGGGGATCTGGACGGGGAGGAAGTAAAAGGTACTTTGATCTTGGGCTGGGGAGGTTAGGCACGTGAGCTGGATGACGAACAGCGTTTCAACATCCCCTCACCTTCTCACACCCACCCCTTCAGCTCTCAGCCATGACACTGACCAGTTGGCGCTGGCTCTGCTGACAATGCGTGGTAGCTTCTGATGTGACGGGAAGCTGTCGATCAAAGCTTAGCTGATGAGCAAGTTTATCGACATCCCTTCGGGCTCTTGAATGAGTTCCAATGCCTTGTCCGCCAACTGTGAACATCTTATCGTGTAAGTGGGCTGATAGTTCATGCCCATACTTACACGCCACGGGTGTGCATTGTAATCTCAATTCCAGCTAGTAGCCCCACCCAGCCGACAACAACTCGCTCCTCTCAGCGCCGGTCAGCGACACACTCGGCCACGGGATCACAGCAATGTCCAACAGCTCACCCAAGGCCAAGGACACCTGAGCTCAAGGCTGGCGAGCTCACCCGGGGGATATTTCGCATCCCATGACATTCATAACTTCACTAGAGTTGTTTAGCTCACTCAATCACTGAACTGAGGCTGTTCACTTACACGCAGTTCTCGATCCCATCCTCCCACCTCCATCAAGGTTATCAGCAGCGCCTTCATCTGAACAGCTTACCACACGCGTAATCGCCAAGACACTGGGGGATCAACTACTGTTGCATTCCAATTTAACAGCCCCTGATTCCTTCTCGGCTTGATAAACTCATATCCCAAACCTATGGCGGCAATTGAGCGCTGGGCCCACGTGATGGCCCTGACAAGAGTCAAGACACGTTTTGTCGCAACTCAGCCTGACTGTCACGTAAACAAAACCCTAACAGGACGCGTCAGGCATACACACGCACACAAACTTCAAAGGCTTCACATCAAAAATCGTACACAAGAAATGAAATATACGTGTCGCTTCGTATTTAAATCATGAACTATAAACAGGCAGTGGTATTCCGAATCACTTCCTTCGCAGCCCTTCCTCAGGATTTTCCGCCCCTCCGAAACGCGCCAACCGACCATGATTCTCGCGTTACCGTCATAACCGACACGCCATGAAATGTGTCATGTCATGTGTGATATAATACAAGTGCCATAATCGCGTTGGAGAGAATGACCTTCCACTTCAGCGCGTCATTCGCTCCTTGCACGAAGACGACCGAGGATATGAATGGTGTCTCTGTGCACGCGTGCAATCAAACAATCAACAGACCCGCGCTCTCGTTCAAAACCCAGTAGAAACCCAGTACCCTTACTCTCCTTGTCCGAACCATAAACAAAACCGTAAACGCCATGACCGTCATTAACAAAGATCAATGGTGCCAGAGGCATGCGTCTATGCCTTGGAGGCAGCAGCCTTCTTGGGCGCTGCTGCTCTCTTCGACACGGCAGCCTTCTTTGTGGGGGCGGCCTTGGCAGGCTTTGTGACGCGACCAGTCTTGGTCTTGGTGAGAGGGGCATCGGCGGCCTTCTCAGCCTTCTCGGCCTGTGTCGAGTCAGTACAGATCGAGATCAAATTGCATCAAGGAAACACACCTTCTTGGGAGCAGCAGCCTTCTTGGGGGCGGCGGCCTTCTTCTCAGCAGGAGCCTTCTTCTCAGTGGCAGCGGCGGCAGCCTTCTTAGGAGCAGCCTTCTTTGCGGGAGCGGGCTTTTCAGCGGCAGCCTTCTTCTCGGCAGCAGGCTTCTTCTCAACGGCAGCCTTCTTGGGGGCAGCGGCCTTCTTGGCGGCGGGCTTCTTGGCGGGAGCCTTCTCAGCAGCCTCCTTCTTGGGAGCAGGCTTCTTCTCAGCGGCAGGCTTCTTGGGCTCGGGCTGCTTCTTGGCGAGCTTGGTGCCACCAGAAGGACCCTTGGGCTGCTCGAAGATGCCCTTGTCAACGCCAGCCTTCAGGGCCTTGTTGAAGAGCGAGTCGAACATGTTGTCCGTGACATTGAGAGTGTTGTTTGCCTTGACATACTTCTTCAGGGACTGACGGCTGTGGGACAAGTCAGCGACCGAATGAGAGAGGGGAGGGAGCGGCGACAGCTGGATTGCATTGCCAGAGAGAAGAGAAAAGAAAGATAGAAACGTACCTGGAGCCCTTTCGGTCCTTGAGCTATTGAATGGGAAAAAGACAAGTCAGTAAGAGAAAAAAGCACTGCGAAAGACAAAGAGCGCGACACAGAAGGTCGGGCGGGCGCGCATGGCGATGGCCTCAAGCCGCGACCGAGCGACGTGGTGGGCGCGCAACAGGAGACGCGCCGAGGAACAGAGAATTTCAAAATCCACATACGTTGACAATGGCATCAGTGATCATGTCCTTGATTGAAGGAGTCAGCAAGTTATCCAAGAGAAAATATCGCGCTCAGAAGGGAAATGGGCTCACCTGGTAGCTGGCGTGGCCAGACTTCTTCGCGGCGGCGGTCTTGGGAGGCATGGTGAAGGTTTGTAAGTGGTGTTGGTTGAAGAAGGAAGGCAGATAATGCGTCTGAAGATGGGCAGAGAGGCGACGAAGATGCAAGACTCGGCGAGAGATTTGATATGCGTGTGATGAACTGAAGAACAAGAGTCAAACAGAACGATCTCGTCGGGCGCGTGGAGGGGACGGGGCATGTTTATATATCGGGCGGGGGCAGGACCGCAATCAGTAGCTCTTTCTCTGGGCTCTAGACTTCTGCTCCTTCTCTTACAACTTTGCAACCTCTTTACCCGCCCGTGCTCACCTGCCACAGACCCACCTTCCTCGATTGGGAAGAGGGGCATCTAGCGCCACACGAAAGGCCAATGCACGCTTTGCACCCGTGTCTGCACAAGATGCATCAGCCCTGCATAAGGGAAGCTTCGAGCCCTCGTATTGGCCTGTTGGTCTTGCACAACTCTCATGCATCATCGGTCGCCTGCACAAATGAGCTTCAGCCACACCAGGTGGGCGATGCCAAGAAGGCCCCTAGCTCCTCAGACCGCGATATGCCACCTTGTAAAAATCGGGGCGCTCAAAAAATGCCAAAATAATGCCTGGGCCTGTGACCATTTTTTTGATTGGTCGGTTCAGACATCACCTCGGGTGAGGTGTACCTCTGTGTGATCTAGAGTCTGGCAGAATGCGAGAGCAACTCATGCCCCCGAGCATCCATTTCCCTCGATTCTCTCGTTTCTTTGCGCACCCTCCTTTACGATCCAAATGAGTCATTCTTGTCGTGTTCTTACGAGTTTGCGGCGAGTTTCCTCGTCTGAAATGAGGGGGAGGATTCACCGGTTTCTTGCGCGTGATAGTTGAAGCACGGCGGCCGTCGACTGGCCGTCACGGCATGTTTGAATGAGCCATGCTCGTTGTCGCATTCCGAATTGCGACATGTACAGCAGTTTCTGTGTCCCTGAGGAGCTCGTCAGTGCCTTCAGAGGACTCGGCGACGTTTGTTTTCGAGTTTTCGAGTTGTCCCGTGTTGATTTGACCGTGATATCGACCTTATCATCCAAAGTCACTTTTTGTGTTGAATCGCGACATCGCGCGCCGGCACCTGAAGCTATCCGCATCCTACGACTGCCTGATCGTCAACCCGCCGCACATCACGTCATTGAGTCATTTTAGTTCGTTTGGCAGTCGTGGGCTACACGGATGCAACTTGAAGACATTTTGCAATTTTTTTGTTAATCAGAAGCGCTCCGTTGCCTCCTGAGAGCGCATAGATGTAGCATCACGACTTACACGGTCGGAGGCGTCAAACAAGCGCGACAGAAGATTGCCCTCCTTACCACCTGCAACTCCACTTCATAGATCTTTGCGAGAATGGAGTTTACTTGAATGGTCTGTCTATTTTTCATTACTTTCGTAAAATTGCACATCCATCACGTCTATGAGCACGCATGCTCAGTAACAATGTTGTCGAGCAGACGCGCCGCGCGTACAGATGTTCAGATCAGCCCTCGTTTCAACACCAACATGCTCCAGCATGGTTGGTTCGGATAATATCTCGGTCGCATGGTCCGAGTATCCAATTTTCTTTGTTGTCGATGGCAATTTGTGTTGTTATTGTCAGTATGGAACTTCACCATTCTACTCTCGCCCGACCGGGTGGCTACGTCAGGTGAGGGGCATGGCGCGGCATCGTGAAGCGTGCGATCAGTGAGTGAACCAACACCACGGCTTTCAGGCTGGCAAACCAGGTTGAAAATCGCACCAGATGTCCAGTTATGCATGCCTTGCTTCAGTTTATTACATCGATTTCGCATTTGTTCGCCACTCATCGTAGCCTGGTGGTCTTTGTTCTACGCACTCGCCTGCAACCTTGTCCTGGCGGCCTTGCTACCCTACTCCTACCAAATGATTTCTGAGTTAAGAGATAGTTTTACTGCACATTACCAGAAACCAGGCACAACTTCAGCCTAGCTTTGAAATGCTTCATCATTCCAGATTCTCATTTCTCATACTCGGTTAAAGTCTGTAGGTGCAGCTGATTCAGTGGCATTCCTGTCGTGGCATCAAGAGAGAAGCAAGACACCAGTGCCCCTCTCATATTGGTTAGGTTCCGAGATTCTCTCTCCTTCCCTGCGATAACATAACACGTGAAGCTGTATCGTCTACTTCATCTATACTTCAATCATGTGTAAAAGAGGGATGCATACAGATTCACCTTCTACATAGGTAGGTAGGTAGACTGTTCGCTGACATAAGGATGGATGACTGTCTACCAGGGTCAGCAAGGCACCAAAGATGCGAATTTCCTGATACGTAAACGATAAAGATAAGCTTTATTATCGCTTGTCTACCCATGTAATGATCTATTCGTCCTCGCTAACAACCGTCAGGGCGATCAATCTCATCTGGAACGGCGAACCTGAAACCTGTTGTCCATTTTAGCGACGCATGTGAACAATCACATGACCACACCGATAGAACACAGTCGACAGTACAGTGCTTATCGCCTGTTGACACCTAACGCTTTGCCAATCAGAGTAATGCGGGACCCGGAACACGATCGTTCCTAGAAGGTCGTAAGGACACCGACACCAACGCCAGAAAAGGCCAGCGAGGCAGGAGATCATCACCAGCTACACTTCGTTTCTACTCTTGATTTCTTCGGCGATCGAATTCCGCCAGCTTCGAAGCGAACACGGGATCATGTTTGCCCTTTTTTGCATCTAATACTTCTCGGATTTTCCCTTTCTGCTCATTCACGGAGCTCGTGCCGTCCGCCGTTGTTGCCCCACGTCTCCTTTACTGGGCGCATGCTCGTCCGATAGACAGCTAGACGTCCTCGATCCTCTCTCCGATTCCACCTCGACACTATATCGTCACCATGGCCGACTATGCTCAGTACCACGCCCTTGGTCAGGGCGAGGTCATCGACCCAAACGACCCTAATCGAACCTCGCAACCCACTGCCCAACAATTCCAGCCGCCTGTCGCCCCGTCTCCTTACCAGCAACAAGCGACACCGCAGCCAGGTTATGGCGGAGTGCCGCCATACTATGGAGGTCAACAAGCTCCTCCCCCGATGACTGGATCGCCTGCCCCAGCTCCTGGATACGGTTACGGTCCTCCTCAGTCTCAAGGACCTCCTCCACCAGGTCAAGCTCCCCCGTCTCAAGATGCTACGCTGGCCGCGCAACTGGGAGGAATGAACTTGGGAGATGGACACCACACAGCACGAAGAAAGAAGAAGGACCGACATGCATACCATACTGTTGAGGCTACAGGTTCCTCGCAAGCCTTCAATGGCATGCCTGCGCAGGGAACTTCGGCTTCGCAGTTCCTCGACAACAACGTCCCAGGCGCCCCTAGCTTCGGACCTGGTGCAAGCCCCATGAGCACACCTCAGATGATGAGCCCAAACCTATACGGGGCACCTCCGAATCCTGCTTTCAGCCCTGCTGTTCCAGCGATCTCTCCCAATGCTGGCGAGGGCTTCGTTGATACCGCATCTGTCTCGACCAGCGGGCCCAAGGTCTCCCCCGACGACATGCCCAGCGTGCCGGCTTCACGAGATGTTATCCAACAACATTATCTGAAGAACGTCTACCCGACCTTCGAACGACATGTTCCCCCACCTGCAACTGTCTCGTTCGTCGCCTACGACCAGGGCAACTCTTCTCCGAAATACACCCGACTTACACTCAACAACATCCCTGCGACCTCCGAAGCCCTTCAAGCCACAGGCCTCTCGCTCGGAATGCTTCTTCAGCCGCTGGCTCCCCTTCAGGCTGGAGAAACTGACATTCCAATTCTCGACTTTGGCGAAGCCGGTCCTCCACGATGCAGACGATGCCGAGCTTATATGAACCCCTTCATGATGTTCCGTTCGGGTGGAAACAAGTTTGTGTGCAACCTTTGCTCGTATCCCAACGATACTCCGCCAGAGTACTTCTGCGCGACCAGCCCTCAAGGCGTGCGAGTCGATCGAGATACCCGACCCGAGCTTCACCGAGGAACGGTGGAGTTTGTGGTGCCCAAGGAGTACTGGACGCGGGAGCCAGTCGGCCTGCGATGGCTGTTCTTGATCGACGTGACCCAAGAGGCCTATAATAAGGGCTATGTAGAGGCCTTCTGTGAAGGAATTCTCGTTGCCCTGTACGGTGGCGAGGATCAGGAGAAGGATGAGAACGGAGAGGCAAAGCGGAGGATACCTGAGGGAGCCAAGGTTGGCTTTGTAACATACGACAAGGATATCCATTTCTACAACGTCAACGTGAGTGAATCGATACTATGCCGAGGTAGCTGTACTAACATCAGCCAGCCCGCCTTGGACCAAGCTCAGATGATGATCATGCCTGATCTCGAAGACCCCTTTGTACCTCTGAGCGAGGGCCTCTTTGTTGATCCATATGAGTCCAAGGATGTCATCAGTTCTCTCTTGACACGCTTGCCGGATATGTTCTCAGTCGTCAAGAATCCCGAGCCTGCTCTCCTTGCTGCCCTCAACTCGGCGCTCGCTGCCCTCGAGAAGACGGGAGGTAAGGTGGTGGCCTCGTGCTCTGCCCTGCCAACTTGGGGTCCCGGACGACTCTTTATGCGAGACAACGGCAACCATCCAGGCGGCGAGATCGACAAGAAGCTCTATACGACGGAGCACCCAGCGTGGAAGAAGGTGGCCGAGAAGATGGCAGCCGCAGGCGTTGGTGCCGACTTCTTCCTCGCTGCTCCTTCAGGCGGTTACCTCGACATTGCTACAATTGGTAAGCCAGCTTGTTTGGAATATTGAACAAAAAGAACTGACTTGATTTCTAGGCCATGTTGCTTCTACGACTGGCGGCGAAACATTCTACTATCCTAATTTCATCGCCGCACGAGACAGCCGGAAATTGTCTCTCGAGATTGCTCATGCAGTGACACGAGAGACTGGTTTCCAAGCTCTTATGAAGGTCCGTTGCTCCAATGGACTCCAGGTCTCTGCCTATCATGGCAACTTTATTCAGCACACATTTGGCGCGGATCTCGAGATTGGTGTCATCGACGCAGACAAGGCGATGGGTGTCACGTTCAGCTACGACGGCAAGCTGGATGCCAAGCTGGATGCCCACTTCCAGTCAGCTCTCCTCTACACCACTGCCTCAGGCCAGCGTCGTGTGCGG